CAACACTGCATAACTTAGTGCCTACCTAAACAAAATAGTAACATGCAATTATTCCGTTTTACTTATCAAACATGTTTTATTAAATGCATAGATAGCAAATGCAGAGGAAATAAAATAAAATACAAATATTTTTGATAATGATTCTGCAAAAATCGAATATCTATTTGAGTTTATCAATAAAAGTGTATTTTAAAATATGGTAAAAGGTATAATTAAAAAATAATAATTTACCTTTTGATGGTACAAACTAATGGTAACTACGTGTTCCAGGTATTGTATTAGCAGTATCCAATCGTTCTTTAAGAGCGGTTCTCACCAAAGTTAAATCTTCTGATGAAATATATATGAAATTTATGCCTTCAATGTTTTCATTGCATTGTTTATACATTGTTTGTGGAGATAAAATATGATTATCCATATCTCTTTACAAACTTGCTAGCGTTGAAAGATGTTTGACTGTACCACCTATCCCATCACAAGGTTGCTTACCGTGACTAGTTGCAAAAAAGTTCCATTTAGCAGTAAAACCAAAATCTTCACAATGGAAACAAAGATTTAACATATTTTTGCAATTCTAATATTGACCCATCTGAAAAGTATTCAATATTTTTTATTTGAGGCAAATTTGTTTTTATATCATTGCTAACAACCTCAATAATTTTATAAACCATGTTCACATCATGGATCATATCATCCAAAATAATACAATTGGATTTGTGCTTTAGAATGCCTTTATTTTTGAAATAAATAATCACGTACATTGTAAATTTGTCCAATGAAAGCTTTGCACTTCATCCTGAACTACAAATTTATAGTTTTCTGAAAAATCACCCAGAAATAATGTTGTTACCTCATTCATATCTTCCTTACTTGATCTCAGGTATAATGCTTGACTCTTTGCTAAATACGAATGTTGTGCAAATTTTTCCAGTTTTCTACATACTAGTTCAATGTATCCAAACACTGGCTTTTTATTATGTGTCAAGTTTGACCTATCTGTTGTTGTCCATTGATCAAATTCAATCTCATCATCATCTTCAAATTCTCCAAGTATATCATAAAGTTTTTCAACCAATGCATTCATAGTTGCTGGGCGTTTTTCACATTTCCTCGTCATACAATCTTTATTATTTATATCACAGACAATATAAGGTAACAATTCTATGTATGTAACACCAAAAGAATGTAAAAGCAGTTTCAAATTCTGATGAATAGCACAGATGCATACAGAATGTTTTCCGGCACCAACAGTAATACAACATTTAGGTCGCAAAGTGCAAAACCTTGAAAATCCTATTTTTATTTCTGGGTTCTTGGTTTTAAAGGCAACAAACAATTCCTTTAAATTACATAAGAGCAAACGTTTTTGCATGTGGACATTTTTCTTTATGCTTACACAGTCCTTTTTACCAGGCATTATACAGCTATGTTCATCGTCTTCGTAAAAGGTCTTGACCAGTTGAACTGTTACACCAGGAAGAGCTTTTCCTAATTTAGGATTAGGCATGGTTAAAATACCTTTTTCTAATGTTAACTTGCGTGCAGTTCGAGCTACATAGTTTGTTACATGCAATGATTCCTTTTTTATTGACCAGTCTGTTGGAGCAAGTGTCGCAAGTTGTACTTTTTTTTGATATTGATGTAGACTCTGCAATTTTGTTAGTTAACAATACCATCATGTTATCAAACAAGTTTGCTTTTTCCATATACTCATTATTAAAACTTGACTTTTCTGCAAAACTTTCTTCTGATATATTAAGGGAAATGGCTAACTTTTTTTTAATGGAGGTTGTTAATGCTGTCAATTTTCGTTTACCTTCTCTGATTTTACCTGACTTGTACAATCCTTTGACCTTAATTGGAGATACTCCGGCAGATGCAAAGTGTGTATCTACACTTTCTTTTTTATTTTGAATGGATCTTTCATTAAAAATATCAAATTCTTCATCATTTTTATTTTCACTTATACTTTTTGATAAACATGTCATAACTTTACTTTGACAGGTTGGACACAGTTTTTTTCCAGGTATAAGATTTAAATCTATGGTTTCTGCTTCTAACACAGTATGCATTGTAATCACACGTAGAGATGCTTAAAAAGAAAGTAATTACATTACTTAAATAACATTAATTATATATATTATGTAATTATATTACTATACAACTTGTTATAATAACTATGAAACATTGAACAAATCTTATTACCAAAAAAACTTATAACTTATTAATAATGATATTACCTGATGAAATATAAATATATAAATTTTTACCTCTACACACCTTTTGGTGACTCAGAAATGGATTACAGCAACTTTTATGATTACCCTTATATCTTACAACTAACATATCATGATGGTGTATACATATATTAGTAATTTGTTCTTGTTTCAGATTTGTTCGTTTTTCAAGTAGCTTACGATCATTGCTGTCAATACCTTTAATCAGATTTCTTTCTTGAGTATATGATTGCTTATAATTTGAAGTTTCCTTGGTTTTGACTAAAAACTGACTAAAAAAGTTTCCTTGGTTTTGACTAAAAACAAGCTCCATAATTATTTACAAAGCAGCAATTAATTTTGTTATCCATATAAAAATATAATGAGGAACCTCTGTCTAAACACTTAATACAAGAAATCTTAAATAATATTAATGTCCCTAACAAGAAAAGTACACTTGAACACAAACAATATCATATCAATATGTATTTATAAAGAACATATTGCTTGAACAAGTAGCTATTAGTTTAATAGACATATTTTAAATGCCTAACTATCTACTAAGTATTGTAAATTTTCCATTAACTACTTACAAAAAGTTGTGTAAAAGTAAAAGATAACTAAATATAATTTTATTTAGTTATGTAACTTAACATGGTAATGTTAATTAGACATTATTCTATCGTTTTATTACTTTTTTTATTGATGATAATAAATGTTTTATTACAACAAAACAATCAACAACAAAAGTTACATAATATTGTTAAATTTAATTACATGATATTATGTAATGAAAAGATGATTTTGTAAACAATGTTTCTGTGACTAAAACAATGTTAAAATTGTGATGAAAGGTGATAGTTTGAGGCTCTTGCATTTTATTGTTTAAGGATGTTGCATTGATATAATATAATTGATATAATAACAGTTCAATAAAATTTGAGCTGAGTAACAAACTGATTAAGATGATGAAGTTCTGTGTAATTGTGAGAAATTTGAATTTATAAAGATTTTTAAATTACTGATTGGTATTAGTTTGCCTTTTTTTAAGGCTTTTTTTGATCAGTGAATCTCCTTTTATAATGAATTTAAATTTGTTTACTTCATACAAACCTTTTATAATAAATTTAAATTTGCTTTCTTCATATAAACCTTTTAATTTTTTGTTTTTATTATTTCTCTCTACAATTATTTTTTTCTGATTTTTTTTTGCTCCATTGGAGATTGGTAAAATTAAATAAAATTAAAAAATCAAATTAAATTAAAATAAATTAGTTTTAAAGTTCTAAAATTACAAAACTAGATAATGGATAACAAATTAAAATGCAACTTAATTAAAAAAACCTGTAAACAGGAAAGAATTCTATACCATAGATTTATTTTAATATGGTAAATAGTTTTAATTAAAACACATAAAATTAAACAGAATAAAGCAAATAGAATTTTTAGAAGATGGAATAAAAGATGTTATTTAAAAAAACTATTAACTGTCAACTATTATTAAGATTGTTCTAACGCAATAAATTTGGAGAAACCAAATTTATTGCGTTAGAACAATCTTAATAATAGTTGACAGTTAATAGTTTTTTTAAATAACATCTTTTATTCCATCTTCTAAAAATTCTATTTGCTTTATTCTGTTTAATTTTATGTGTTTTAATTAAAACTATTTACCATATTAAAATAAATCTATGGTATAGAATTCTTTCCTGTTTACAGGTTTTTTTAATTAAGTTGCATTTTAATTTGTTATCCATTATCTAGTTTTGTAATTTTAGAACTTTAAAACTAATTTATTTTAATTTAATTTGATTTTTTAATTTTATTTAATTTTACTAAAATGTACTTTAAAACTTCAAAATAACAATAATAATAAAGTGATTCAATATTAAATTCAAAACTAAATTTTTTTTCAAGTTTACTATTGAAGATAGTAACAAAATTTGTTACTATCTTTAATAGTAAATTTGATATTTTTAGATGTGCAATTTTGAAATATTGTATAAAGCACCTTTTTTTCTCTTTTTTTTTTTTCGGGCCAAAAAGCTTTTCAGTTACTCAAGGTTGGATTTACTCATAGTTTTTTATATTTCTTTGAAGATGCAGGGTTTTACCTAATCTTTAATAATATATATTTAAATAATATATATAATAAATATATTTAATATATATAATAAATATGTTCAATATATATAATAAATATATTTAATATATAAAATAAATATTTAACTTTAGAGGCTTTGACTTTTTGACTAAAATACTTTCTGAACTTCAAATTTACAGATTTTAATACTATGCCATATTCTTAAATATAAAAATAAAACTTTATCGAATATTATTTTGAATTTGATTTATTATGAAGAAATCAAGTGTTTAAAAAATGATAATAATAACAATAAAAAATAAATTTTTAAAATCAAAAAAACAATTTTCAAAGCGATATGAATATAAAGAAACTATTTAAAACATTATTGAATCTACTATTTGTTTATTCAATGTTATTTCTTTTATTCAATGTTTAATTGTTAATTTTTATTTTATGTTGAGTATGCATTTTAAATTTTCAATAACCTAAACTAATTTTTACAAATCAATTTGGGTCATTAAAAGTTCATTGGTTTTTAGTTTATAAATCCAAAAATCAAAACTCCTTGTTTTTAAGTGAAAATATTATTAATATATACATAAATTAATTATATTTTAATTTCTTTCAAATTTTAAATTTTTTATTTTACTTATTACTTTTTTTCAAATAAATTTAAAACAATTTGTTTTTTTTATTACCTGTTTTTTTCAATTCCAAGTTTTTTTAAACAGTACCATAATGAAGCTGTTACAGAAAAAGAAAAAGAAAAAACTGAAAAAATTCACTAAAAAATCATATCCACTTGTTACGACATTCTTCACTTTAAACATCTTCATTTGTATATATCACATTAATTATAATGCACCTTTGTTTAAAACGCCTTCATTCATATATATACAACAATTATAATGCACCTTCACTTAAAACACCTTCATTCACATATATACAACAATTATAATGCACCTTCACTTAAAACACCTTCATTAATATATATACAACAATTATAATGCACCTTCACTTAAAACACCTTCATTCATATATATACAACAATTATAATGCACCTTCACTTAAAACACCTTCATTCATATATATACAACAATTATAATGCACCTTCACTTAAAACACCTTCATTCATATATATACAACAATTATAATGCACCTTCACTTAAAACACCTTCATTCATATATATCATGCTGATTATAATCATCAATAAACCCATCTTCTCATTCTCTTTTCCCCTAAAAAAAAATAATTTTGACTATTAAAAGTATAGTAGAAACTTTTGAAGTTGGCCTAAGATTAAAAAAAATGATGATTTTTGCAGTTTGCCTATTATAAAAAAAAAGTTTATTGAGACCTACCAATCTAAAAGACTTTCACATCCAGGATTCTCTTCTAATAGATTTATAAGAACAAAACCTTTAGACTTTCCATCTTCAGATACGATCTCTGCAACATCAAAACCAAATGTCTAAAAAAATTTTCTAGTCTTTCTAAATTATAAACTGAATGATATTTAAAGTATAGCAACACAAAAATAACAATATATTACCATATTTTATAATTCACCATATCATACAATATAAATTCATTTATATAATTAGATTGCAATTCATCAGACATTAGAAATAGAAGTTATTTAATTATATTTATGATGTACCAACTGCTAAAACTTGTTCTACTTAAGGTCTAAGTTGTTGTAAGACAGTTCTCAATTGAATTTTGTTTGGGCTTCTGTTTTTTGTGTCAATTGGAGAGTAGAATGAAAATTAAGAATGGAGATGACCAGGGTTGATAGGTTTAAACCATGGTTTAAACCATTTAAAAAAACTTTGGTTTAAACCAAATAATTTTTAAAAAGAAAAGTAAAACAAGGGCAATTTTTAAAAATTTTATTTTTTATTTAAATATTTAATTGAATAATTTAATGTAATTATTTAAAAAATACTAAAAAGCTAGAATTATAATGGACGTCAAAGAATTGTTAAATTCTAGTAATTCCTAAACCACCTTCTAATTACAAGAACTTTTGAATATCCAATTCATATATTTAAAGGTCATATATTTAAAGGTGAGTGAAAATGTAAACTATTAAAAAAAAAACTTGTAAAACTCACAAAACTAACTTATTATATTATTCACAACTTTTTTCAAAAAAGATAATAAGCAAGACAATGGATACCCATGTAACTGTTGGTTAAAAAAATAACCAAATCGATAGAGTTAAGACATATAAGAAATATATATCCCTATTCAGAAACAAGTACTATATCGGAGTACTTAAAAACTGTTATACTCAAAATAAATCAGCAAAGGTTTGAACAAGATTTCAAAATTTATTAATTATTAATTCAAAAAACGTTTAAATTAATAACTTAATAACACTTCATTAAAACTTATAAAAGAAACTGTTTAACAGTGGTAGCCATGACTAAGGAATTTACTCAAATAAAAGTACAGATTGTCTAAAATACAATGAAAATTTATTCAAATTCTTAAAAAATAAACTAAACAAAGTTTCTTTAGAAAATAAAAAAGGAATTTAAATTAAACAAACATGTTTTTTGTTTGTTTGTTTTTTAAAAAGAATGTATATTTTTAAACCCTGGAAATAGCTCACCTAATTGTTTTATCTTTGTTAAAGCATCCATTTTTAACAAAGTTAAAACAACCAGATGGACCAACTTGTGGTGGCTTTTTAGTTTTAATTGTTTAACAAAGTTGTACATCAAGAGAAAATAAGAAGAAAGTGAAGACAGATTAATAACATTAACTTGGTTGAGTACATAATTAGATTAGTTGAAACAAATTAATAAGATTAGATTGATTACAAATTGATAAATTTGTACTAAAATGATGAATACAGTAAAACTTAAATCCAGACAAATCAGGAAAGACCTTTAGTATTATGATGAATGAATACAGTAAAATTCAAGTCCAGTGAAATCAGTGAAGAGTCGCATACGCATATTATTGTTTTATTTTTAAAAAATTGAATGAACTTTTTATTATATTGAAAAATATTCCTTAAAATATTTTTTAAGAAAAGGATTGTTTGATGATTGTGTGGAAAAGAATGTTATATCAAAAAAATTGATCAAGTGGTGTTTTCAGTTTGAAGACAGTAAGTCATTTATCGGCTTAACTATGAACAACTTTCCTTTAATAAAAAGGAAGACTTATCAGTTAAATAAATAGTCATGACAGTAAAATTCAAATCATTTATCAGTTTAACTATCAACAAATTTTTTTTTAATAAAAAGGAAGACTGATCAATTAAATAAATAGTCAAGACAACGATGTTTGTGATAAAGATGACTGCTTTAAGATTTTACATAAGATTTTTAAAAAGGAAACAAAAGAAAATAAAGTGTTGAACTTTCCTCTAAAAAAACTAAAGCACTTATCTCACTTTTTGTCTCACTTTAAAATAGGCTTATAGAGTTCCAACAACATCAAAAATTAGCTTATGTTTTTTTTTTTTTAAAAGATTATCATCAGAACACAGATGTCATACTTCTAACTGATGAAATAAAATTTTTATATAAGTTATATACAAGGACACAAAGGATAAAAATGGTCAAACAGATAGTTTCAAATGAGTATAAAAATGTCTTATTTTCTAGTTGTTGTTTTTTTTAATTACTTTAATATATTTATTATTTTCACTTAGTATTGTTATATTGCATTTGGCTTTGTCTTTGTAACCATCAGAAAAGATTTTTATGAATTTTATAGAAATTCAATCTTTAAACCAAATGTATTCTTTTAGATTAGTCAGAAGTGTTCTTATGATAAAGTCAGAAGTGTTCTTATGATAAAGTCAGAAGTGTTCTTATGATAAAGTCAGAAGTGTTCTTATGATAGAGTCAGAAGTGTTCTTAGATTAATCAGAATTTTAAGTTTTTTTCTTTTTAAATTAATATTAAAAATTTTCTTTCTTTTTTCTGTTTATTACTTTTTTTTTTTTATTGACTGGAAAATCATTGCTATATTAAAAAGTTTTATGCAATATATGTTACTAATAACAACATAATTATACATTTTTTGATTATAATAGTTTGATATATATAAAGTTTTACAAACTCTGTGGTAGCTCTCAGGGGGCTGATTCTATCAGTAGTCAATCGAGTCAAGTTCTCTAATAATTTAAAACATAAGTATACCTAAAAATAATAAACATAAAAACCTATTACCACCATCGACCATCAATACCACTAAATTGTTTCAACCCTCACTTAACATTTTTGTCACCATTTTTTTTTTTTTTTCATTTTTGTCACTTTTGATCTGTGAAATCTTAACATTTACACTTTGATAATGATTACACTTACTTAACATTACATCTTAACATTTCACAACAAGCTCTTGCTCAATACTTACTATTTGAGACTTTAAATTTGTTTGTTTCAACTTGGAATCTTAGTGCAATGGCAATCATTATCTGAACTGCAAAGACTCCAATAGTCACATGCTCAAACTAAACCAGAGTGTTAGCCAGTCTTATGGCACCGCATGTAATGTGGAATTCTCAATTGGTTAAAAGTTTCCAAAAGTTCAAACAATAAAACTGGACGCAAATAAAACAAAAAAGACCTAAGATTTGTTAAATATCTAAAACTTAAAATTTAAATACTTTATTAAATTAAACTTAAATATTAAAAGACTACTCAAGATTTAAAGTATTACGCTAGACACATAGAAAATCTTGTTAGTATGTACAACAAAGAAATGAATTAAGGTTGAAAAAGGAAAATAAAAATTTTTTGAAAAAGTTTAAAATAATTCAATGTGCTTTGATGCATTTTTATATACTATAAACAAAAATTAGTTAACACCATTTGCATAAAAATCTCACAATGACATTATTAATTTTATACTTTATGAATAGATTTTTACCCTGATTTAATATATTTCTTTCAACAAAGATAACTTAATGAAAAATGATAAGAATCTTTGGAATTTATGTGGCTCACTCTGAGTGAGTCATAAAATAAGATTTAATTTTCAAACACAACAGGTTGTCTATCAAACTTATAATTAAAAAAAAAAGTGAAATATGTTCATGTAAAAATAGCACTGGTTGTCTTGTTTTTATAAAATTTTAAAAAGTGCTTCACTCAGATGTAAATAAATACATCACTATATAAGAGTATCACCATTTTAGCTTTATACAAACAAAAGTTATCTTTGTTAAGAAATTACAAGTATAATGAAAATTTAAAGGCAGAAAAAACCTAATAGAAAAAAAAAGTAAAAGAAAAATGAAATAATAAAAACTGAATAAGCAAACTAAAATTCTCCACTAGCATGTCTTTCGTTCCATAAGTTCATTTTAACATTAAGACCTTTTCTGATAGCAAGAAGCTTTTATGCCTTTGTTTTGCTCAGATGGTTAACTTTTTCCTAGAATCCTCAATATGCCTAATGTCAGATTTTCTTAAACCTTCTTTAGTAATATACCCAGCGTATATAACAAGCTTATTGAAAACTTGAAATCCTTAGTCACGATCATTATATGCAGTAACAGCAGATGTAACTGCAGTTTTAAAAACACCATTTCATATTTATACCCTTATAGGGCACCATTTCCATATAAAGTTGTTCAAGGACTTATTGACATTCTGCGTCTCACTATGTAAAGACTTTTTTGATGAAAAATATTGAAGCAATAACAAAAAACTATAAATTTTATTTTTTCTTTATATGTTTTTTCTCCTGAAATATTATCACCTTGGTGTTTGTACTATGAATCAAAGCTAACTAGACAGAAATCGATCATTATCACTTTTACCACTTTTGCCCTTGTAAGCTTTGAGTTTTTTTGGCTTGGTGGTGGCATATCTCATTGGATCAGCAGATGGAGCTATATTCATGCAAGAAAAAAAAGTTTTCATTTCACTAAAACCTTGACCAATCTTAGTATACATAAGATATAAAAAGTCAAGGTTTTAGTGCGATTGATTACACATAGAATAAATAATAAAATATTATAATTAAAAAATAAATAAATAATAAACTATTATAACTCTGTTAATAATAAACTGTTTATTTATTAAAAAAAAATTATAACAAACTTTTCCATAGAATTGCGTTTATTATTATTGGCATTTCAAAGAGGCTCAGCACCAATACCTTGTTTATCCCATATCCCAGATAAACATCATCGCTATTTATGCTTATACGATTTACGCCTACTCCATACTGCAGTATATTATGCGTATATTATATTATGCGAGTATATTATATTATGCGATTTGCAGTATATTATATTATGCGATTTACCCCTACACCATTCTGCAGTAATAGTTATACATAGAAGAAATAAAAAAGTATATACTTAAAAAACAAATAAATAATAAACTATTATAACTCTGTTAATAATAAAAGAAAATTTGTAGTTTTTAAAAAAAATAAAGCTCTCACAATATTTACCTCTTGCAAAACTTTCTTGCTTTCTTCAAACACAATTGGAAAAACTTTAGAGTTATAAAATACGTCCTTTATAACATCTTTTATCATTTCTTAACAAAAAATAAATAAAAATTAAAAATAAAATCTTTTAAATAAATTAAAAAAAAAACAAAAAAAACAATAAAAATTTACCTGCTTTTTTAATACAAACTTTTTTTCTGTCTGAAAATAGAATGTAACGAACCATGTCAGCAACCTAAATAATAAATTCATAAAGTCCAGTTTATTCCATGAAGGAACATACTTATTCACTGTGTGACAATTTTTGCTCATTTTTTAATTTCAGCAGTCTTTTATGTTTTATTTGTTTTAATTGGTTCTAACAAAATTCAATTACTATAAATTTTAAGTGTGTTAAAAATATTAAAAAGTGTTTTATTTGTTAAAATCGTTTTTTAATAAATAAAACAACTTTCAATATCTAGGGGCAATAATGACTTAAAAGTAAAACAAAAGCTCATTTTTTGGAGATAAAAGCTTTTTCTTTATTTAAAGATACAAAAAAAAATTAGCGCAAATCAGAAAAAAGTGTTTTTAGATTTTAACATATTATTTATAATTTTTATATTATAAATAACATGTAAAAATCTAAACACTTTACAAGATTTTTACATGTTATTTATAATTTGAAATTACGCTTTGTTGTTCCACAAGGCTAGAAAATTTCAAGATCACTAAGTAAGTAACTTTGAATTGAAAAAAATTAATACTAAAAAAGTTATTTTTTTAAGTGAAGAAGTTCACATAAAAGTATTTTCAAAAAATACTTACAAGTCTTTTAAACTCTGCTGAACTTAATGAATCAATTGCTCTCAGAGCTTGACTGCTGGACGTCTGAGATAAATTTTGCATTCTAAAAAAAAGAGTTTTGATATCAAGGGACTCAACTCAACCATGAAAATTCCATGAACTGTAAATAGAATCTTTTTTAATAAATTACAAAACTATTTTTTAGAATTTTTAACTTACTGTTTAATAAGTGAAAAAATTGATTACCTTTTAAATATTAAAGGTTTTTGAATTTAGAAAATTGTTTGCTAGTAACTAAAAGGTTGAAAGTCTTGCTAATGAATATGCGTTTTAAAATGTTAAAATCCTTGATCTTTGTCTTGTTATTAAATTTTCCTAAAAACTGATTAAATACAAGGTTATTATCATTAGAAAAAGCTTAAATACAGTTTAGTAAAGGTGAAAAAACTAAAATCTAAATTTCTACAAAAAGTTATAATTACCAAATTTTGGTAAATTTATAATTTTATTAAATTGAGTGTATAAAAGTCAGTTTGGCTATGAGTAGTAATAGTTGTGCCCTTTCCACCCAATATCAAAATCAAAATTTGTATTTTTATATTTAGAGTGTATACACAAAATATTTTTTAAAGAATAAACACATCTTTATTTTTTCAGTAGTTGTGTAAACATATTTTGTATGTATATTGTTAACAATGCATTGCAGTTTCAAAAAAATGTATTATTTCTCCAATTAACTAAAAATTAGTTTTAAAAATGATAAAAGAAGACAATAGATTCACAAATATTTTTAAAATCCTAAAAGAAAGCTACTATTCAATAGCAAAGAATTTGCTAATACCTACACAGTTAGTAGAAAGAGTGTTGCAGAAAGAAACAAGTTTATTCCTAAAAACTTCTGTATTGAAGACATTAAAAAAATCAAATACCAGCAAATGGACTGTCCTTTATATTGCAAAATATAAAGAAAAAGCAGATAAGAAACTTAAATACAAAGAAACGCTTGCTAAAGAAGTCTTGGTTTGGCAAGTTATTAGCAAGTTTGACAAAAAATTAGCACCTTACATTTTTGAGTCCACACTTTCTGGTCAAAATATATGCCAAGTGTTGTCAAAAATGTTTGACATTATGTTAGAAACATTTGAAATGATTGACAACACTCATTGAAGTTACACAACAAAATGTCTAAATAAATAAACACCATATTTAGATGATTATATTGGATAGCCCAAATTCATTAAAAATAAAAATATTTCATAACATAATGTTACATAATGTCCCAACAGTTAACATTCTGTTGCTGATATGGAAATTAGGGCAGCCAATCAGTGTTACTTTTTAGTGATAATATATAATATATTTTATTACCTATATACTAAATTTAATTACTTATATACCACTATACTTCTTAGTGATAATATATATAATATATATACTTTTTCATAAAATTTTTATGAAAATGCTAGCTAACTATAAAGACAAGCACAACAACCTATATCGTTTTTTTAAAATCTCCTTTTTTCTACAAAAATATATATATGCAAAAACTATTACATAAAACTTTCTACATAAATAGATGTATGTAAAAAAAAAATTATGTATCATCATGTTATTATAGAATAAGGTGCTATCAACAATGACATATTGACAATGATACTATCAATAATGCTAATCAGGGACTGTGGAGTCTTGTGACAAATTTAAAGACTTTAGACTTGACTTAACTAAATTAAATAAGACTTAAAACTTGACTCCAACACCAATGACTTGCCTTGAGATTCAAGTCACAAATCATAATATCGTATTCAAGTTCTAAAACTTATTTAGAGAAAAACTTTAATAATAATTTTGCGCAACATGAAGCTCGGTTTGTTTACATCCTTATATTATTTAGTTATACCCGAAAAGCACAAATATGCGCAATCTGATTCGTTGATTTTGGAAAAGGATAAGCGCGCATTTGTTAAACAATAATAAAAAATCAATTGGATCAGCACTTCTCTTTGATAATAAGCTCAAGAAGTAGTGTGACACCTCCCACCTTCAATAAAATTTTCGTTCATTAAGTCGGCAAATTTGACCCTTTCAGACAGGTCAGTCGGCAAATTTTAAAAAACGAGGACCTTATTTTCTTTTTTTAGTCGGCAAAAATTGTAATGGTATTCCCACCACCTTCACCCCCCTCCTACCCAACGTGAGCCTGCAAGGGAGCTTTTGTTTGAAATTTCATTAGAATATTTCTAAGTGACGAAATGACAAAAACTCTATTAAATATACATTACTAACAACTTTTTTAAACAGACTTAAATAAATAAAAACACTATAAATAAATAAAAATATTTTATAACAAATAATAATTTAAATATAATAAAAACTATTTTAATTTAAAAGTTTTTAAAACTCTGTTTTTAATTTTAATAAAAGTTCACGTGTATAAATCTTTTTTAAATTTTGAAATGTTTTAAAACTAATAAAAAACGTTAAAACAAATCATGTGGCCTAATATATGGATGTGTTAAAACCCCGTTAACCCATATTGGTTAACGGGAATTTAATACATCCATAATTGTACATCCATGATTTCAATCATGTCATTGGTTATTGTTTTAAAATAGCTTGTCGAAAATGCCAATTTAAACCGTGACATAAAACACAAAATTAAGTTCTAAAGCTTTTAAATAAACATAAATAACTCTTGTGAATAAAATCAACTGTAGTACATTTTTTAAAATGTAAACACGAAAGAAAGTTCTGGTATTATTAGGAAGAGGAGGAAGACTAAGACCAAAATGTTCAAGGCCAAGACCAAAATGTTCAAGGCCAATTCCAAAATGTTCAAGGTCAATGCCAAATTGTTCAAGGCAAAGGCCAAAATTTTCAAGCCCAAGAGCAAGGCCTTAATTTTCGGCCTCAGGCAAGGCCAAGACCAAGTCCAAAGACTAACAACTCTGCTATCACTATGGTTAAGCTTAACAGAGAGATGAGAATGCGGCCCCAGACTTTCAAATTAAATAGTGTTAAACTTTTGTTATTATCAATAATGGATATTCATTTTACTCTTAGTTTTCTTCAGAGTTTTGAAATGTATCAAAATCAACGACTAGAGACAAGAAAAAGTTCACCAATATTCCCAATTTTTTATTTTGATAGAATGTTTTTCTTTAAGCATTTCCAAATGCATTACCAAAATCTTCGGATCAATGTTCTAAAGTACTACTTTCAGAAGTAAATTTTTATAACTACTTCATGTCAAGTTCAAGATCATCATGATGCACATAGATCAAAGGCAAGAAGAAATAAGATCTGACTTAAACTACCCTTACTTTAGGGCTATCACTATATAACCAACATTTAAGTTTTAATTGATTATTTTTATTTATTTTTGTTTACAGCTTTCATATATATCAACAAACACATTTTTTTTATTGATTTCGTCGAATTCTGCGCGTAACCTTGGTCTAATTTCACAACATGTGGTTTTATTGACACAGCACTTGCTGCCTGCAGTTTTGTTAATAGTTGATCTCAACGTAAGGCCAAAGTTTAAGTCTTTGGCCATAAAACTCTTGTTCTTGACCTTAATTTCAACTCATGCTAAGCACCGTAAACGCAACATTATTTGGTTTAACCCCCCTTTCAGCAAAAACGTTAGCGCAAATATAGGAAAATTTTTTTAACCCTTATCGATAAACACTTCCCAGTTAATCACAAGCTCCATAAGATTTTCAATAGAAACACAATAAAAGTAAGTTACAGCTGCATGCTTAATATGAAATCTATCTTAAATGACACAATCATCATATTTTAAACAACAACAAAATTACCACTAAAAGCAATTGCAACTGCCTTGATAAAAAGACCTGCCCTTTGGCAAACAAAGACCTGGCAAATAACATCGTGTACCAAGCTAATTTAACCAAATGATTCTGCCCAAACTTCTATAAACAAATTTTACATCGGTATAAGTGAAACACCTTTTAAAATTAGATACGCTAATCACATAAAATCATTTAATATTATCAGGTATAAAAATGACACTGAGTTATCGAAGGAGTTTTGGAAATAAAAGAAGGCTTATTTGAATCCTATAGTTAAATGGAAAATAGTTAAACAGTCCAATGCTTATAACCCTACTAATAAATATTGTAATTTTATGCTTAAATGAGAAATATCCCGACGGGCATGTTTTTTTAAAAGTTACGTTTTAAATGTATTTTAAATGCCTTTTAAACGTTTTTTGCGTAAGAATGTTTAGAAGACGTTTAAAAGACATTTAAAATACATTTAGAACGTAACTTTTAAAAACAAATGCCCGTCGGGATGAAATTCTATTCCCTAGAAATTTATTAACTTACTATTACTCCTTTTATTCATTACAAACTTATTAAATAAAAGGAGTGAAATATTATCTAAGTGCAGGCATAGAAACAAATTTCTTCTGGTGATTAATCTAGTTTCCACGTTACTTTTTGTTTTGTTTTAACGTCAGAACCCATTGTTGTTTTTGTATTTATTTTCTTGATTAAAAAAAAACTTTCGTGAATAGCTATATATATATATATATATATATATATATATATATATATATATATATATATATATATATATATATATATATATATATATATATATATATATATATATATATATATATACAGCTATTTACGAAAGTGTGTAATTTTGATCAAGTAGGTTTATTTTTTTCTTAATAAAAAAATAAATAAAAATGATGTCCACTTAATTTTTTTTATTTGTTAAATAAAATGTAATTTGGTTTAGAATAAATGTGAACTTGTTATGAAATGATTTATATAAATTTAAAAAAAGTTAATTACAAACATAAACATGTGAAAAATGAGTAGCACAAAAGTTTAAACGAAATTTTACAAACAAATAAAAAATGGAAATAAAATGCCAAGTTAATATTCAAAATGTCCGACTTTGTTTTTATAGCAAAGGTAAACTCGTTACTGCATCGATTCAACTAATTTCATGCACATCTCTCGAGGTACCTTCAACCAGTACTCATTCAAAAGTTGCTTTAAGTGCTCAGTTGATTGTATTTGGTAATAAGTAAGTTGATTGTCAATCCAAGACCAAATAATTTCGATTGGGTTAAGATCTGGTGATCTAGGGCACCAAGGGATCACATTTATCTTTTTCTGCAAAAAATATTCTTTGATTGATTTAGTTGTATGAGCTGAAGCCCCGTCTTGTTGAAAGATAAATTGCTTGCTTCTATCATATAACTGTCCGATTGATGGAACTAAACACGTTTGCAATGTATTTTTGTAGGTGTACTGATTTGTTCGGCCTTTGTACAGCTTACACATACCAATACCTTTGTGAGAAAAACATCCCCAAATACCAATGGAACCTCCACCGTCTTGTCG